CTATTATATAAGAATCATATTTTAGCACATCACTGCAGGACTCAAGGCCATTAATGGTTATTAATAGTCACCTGGGAAAATACTACTTTTTCTACTGCTCCCATTAATCTACAAAAATCTTAGAAGATTCTACAGAAGTAAAAGTTTTACAGACGTTTCATATGAATCTTAATTTCCAAAATAGCAAAAGGGAATATTTTGTTTTTTATTTTTACATGTAAGACCAGCAAGTGACTTTTGAAAATACCTCTGTCAATACTAGATAGATAGATATTAAAATAAATGTAGAAATGCTTATAAATGATTATTTAGTAGGAGTCTTAGTCCACATATCACTAAACGTTAACTTCAATATTTCTGAATGATCAACAGCTTCTCATTTCAGTGGTGGGATCTTTTAAACACATCAAGAAGTGGAATGAGTCAAACAAAGTGACACTTAATCTTTGTTTCGAAAACGAAAGTAAGTTACAATATTTGGGTATAGTTTGGTGCAACTGAAGAAATACTACTATCCTCTCACAGAATAAAGTAAGAAGAGGGGTTATAAGTGACGCTTTTTTTCCATAAAGAAATAAAAATTCTTTGCTCTTGCAACTTGGACCCAAGGGATTTCAACTCATCATTTTATGATCATGAATTTACTAACATGCCCACAGCACATCTGTGAAAAATAGACTTTATTACTGTTTTACAGATGAACAGAATTGAGAATGACCATACTGTAAATTGGTAGCAGAAAGGGAATAGAATAGAGACACAAATTTCAAACATACAGTCTGTGCCAGGCAGAATAATAGCCCTCAAAGATTGCCCACATCCTCATCTTCAGGACCTGTGAATATCTTAGGTTACAAGACACAGGAGAATTAAGGTTGCAGATACAATTAAGATTGTTGATCCACTGATCTTAAAATATGGAGAGTAGCCTGGATTATCCAGGTGGGCTCAATATAATCATGAGGATCCTTAAAAGTGGAAGAGGGAAGGCAGAAGAGATCAGAGTGATGTGGTGTGAGCAATGTTTGCCCCAATGTTGTTGGATTTTTTTTATTGAAGTATAGTTGATTTACAATATTATATTACTTTCAGGTGTACAGCATAGTGATTCAGTATTCTTACAGATTATACTCCATCAAAAGTTATTATAAAATAATGGCTATAATTTCCTCTGCTGTATGATGTATCTTTGTTGCTTTTCTATTTTATACATAGTAGTTCATATCTCTTAATCCCTTGCCCCTGCTCCCTTCCCTTTCCCCTTTGGTAACCACTAGTTTGTTTTCTATATCTGTGAGTCTTTTTCTGTGTACATATATATACCATATATATATATATATATACATATATATATTCATTTGTATTGTTTTTTAGATTTGAAAGTAGAAGAGGAATGTGGGCCCCTCTAGAAGCTGCAAAAAAGCAGGGAAACAGGTTCTCCCCTCAGAGCCTCCAGAAAGGAATGCAGCCCTGCCTACAGCCTTGACTTTAGCCTAGAGAGACCCACATTGGGCTTCTGACATACAGAACTATAAGATAATAAATTTGTGATGTTTTAAGCCGCCATGTTCATGGTAATTTGTTATAGTGGCAACTGAAAACTAATACACAGCTGTTTAATCATTTAAGAGCCATTACTACAATCATAATCATTAAAAAAGACTGTAAATAATCAATTTAAGCAACCAGAGGATAACATTTAATTTGGAAATGCAAGTCCATTTTGAAGTAATAAAAGTAGAAGCACACAGATTCCTTGGCATAAAGAAAGATGGAAAAGGAAATATCTAAGAGGAATGTTTTTTTCCTTTTCCACCAGAATACTAGAAGAGAAAGGAGATAAATAAAAAGAGCACATTGATCTAAAGGATAAGGTAAGAGTTTTAAAAATGCTGCTTGCAATAGCCTTCCAGGAGAAGTTTGGGAAGCTTTGTGCTTAGAGATCTTTAAGGTACACAGTGATCTATTCTAGAATGGTTTAGATATATATTAGCCTGATGACAATGGCCTAGACTAGACAATCTCTCATGGCCTCCTCCAGCCTAAATATTCTACACAGACTTGACTCTGTTCCATTCAGTGCCACAATATTTATTACCTATCTACACAATGTAGGTCATCCTGCTATGAATAACCAAATAAGACATAAACTTTGACTTTAAAAAGTTCACAGTTTAATAGTGAACCAGAGTTAAACAACCAACCATATTTAAGCTAGACAATGAAAAGAATCATAAGGGGTGGATAAGTGATATATTGATTAAAAATCATTAAATATCTAAAAATCAATGCAAAATAACCAATGCATTCTTACTGATTATAAAACAAACAACATCATTGGTCACCACTGCAGATTTCCAGGCATCAATTTATTACGATGAGAATTTATCCTGTCTTTCCTAAAACACTAGATAAGAAACGTGAAAAAGTAAATAAAATTCTTTAATGTAGAATTTCAGCTAAAAATTACAGAAGAAATGATAGAATTAGATTCTATCTAGAATGTAAAACTACCAAACTACCATTTTACAACCTCTGTATAAAATAATGCATCTGGGCAATGAGCATTGATAGATGCTAAAACCATTAAGTGAAAATTTGATGATGAATTTTATAATGGAGGGATCAGGCTGAGGCCACCTAAACACACCAAACTGCTTTAAACATCACTAAGTATGACACCAGCCATTATGTACCTCTTTGGGAGTTATTAGGAAATAAATCATACCATCTATAAAGTATTCTTTCTCCCCAAATGCTTAACCCAAATCTAAATATCTTTCACAGGAAAGTCAGGGATAGAGGAGCCAGTTCAAAAAGACATGGAAGCAGTCAGTTAAATACAGAATGTGAACCAGGATGCCTAATCCAATTTCTCCAGCAAATCAATGACATTTAAAAAGGGAAGGGAGAGAGGACTGTTATGGAATAAAAGAGACTAATGAGACCTAACAGCCAAATCTAACATATAGAACATATAGGATCCTGATTCAAAAAAGAAACAACTCTAAGAAGCATTTTTAAAGATCACCAGAGAAATTTAAATACGGACTAGGTATAAAAATATATTATGGGATTATTGTTATAATGTGATAAAAGCAAGGCATTATTAAAATTATTTCTTATCTATTAGAGGTGCATACTGAGGTGTTCATAAATTTTACAAATATGATATCTAGTTACACTTTTAAATACCCCTAAAAATAGCATGTGTGAAGAATACATGGAAAGAGATTAGCAAAACAGTGCTATGTATTTAAGTTGCATGATGAGACATGAGGGTAATTACAGGTTTCCCTCTCCTTATATGTTTGAATTTTTTCATAATAAAAAGTTTTAAGGAATGAAAATAATTGTAAAGAAATAAAAAGGTACCTAGTCTATTTGATCATCCCTCATCACTGAATTAGTGAAAGCTTGGTATATCTGTGGTAGAAATTTTCTTTATAGTTTTCTACACATATTTTTCATTAGCAATCTGACTTCTATCACTTTAGGATTGAATGCCTTCCACATCATAGGGAAAGGATGTTTACTACTGACCAAATTTGCAATCTATATTACCAAGGATAAAAAATTATCATAAGTAAAATATTACTTCTAATGCTCAACAAGTAAAGGAGCAGTAGATCTGTTTCCGCTTGTTTGCGGGTACATATACAGCTTCCAGTCATTTTTATAGTGGAGGGTGAATATGGTGGGGAAATATTTGCAAATTTTCAAATTCCTTATGGTTTATATGGTCAAGGTTAGTGTTGTTACATTTGTCAAAGTGCCTAATTCTCAAATTTTGAAGGGTTACAAACTGTAATGTGTCTGCTTTAAAGTGCTTATCTTATGTAAAATTCAGTCCAGACATTTATAATTAATAATGTTACTCTCTTGCCTAATTTTATTTATTTATTTATTTATTTTTAAATGTTTTTTGCGGTACGCAGGCCTCTCACTCTGTGGCCTCTCCCGTTGCGGAGCACAGGCTCCGGACATGCAGGCTCAGTGGCCATGGCTCACGGGCCTAGCCTCTCTGCGGCATGTGGGATCTTCCCGGACCGGGGCACGAACCCGTGTCCCCTGCATCAGCAGGTGGACTCTCAACCACTGCATCACCAGGAAAGCCCACTTGCCTAATTTTAAAGTACAACAGAGACTTCTCTATGAGAACAAAGGGCTGCAGGACAAAATAGATTCATCTTCAACATTGCTACATATATGCATGAATGTCAGATCTGGTCTACAGTAGTTCAAGTTATAGAATTAAACTTTGGAAGTTCATGAAAAGACTGTTTAGCAATAATCCTAACAGTGGATCAAAATATAAATCTTATCTTAGGCTATTCAGGAAGCCTTTGACAGCATTTTAAATAGATGATCCCTTTTTAAAAAAATGTTATCCTTTAAAAACCTTTTATTTGCAAATAATTTTTCTGGAGATGGCTTGAAGGTACCTACATCCTCAAATTACATTTTAATGTGATTAAAAATATTTTCAAAGAAATTTAAAATTTCATAACACAAATACAAACTTTAATCTTTTTGTCTGAAATACCCTAAAAATTTTTAAATGTAACACACTGTCTTTTCTTTTTAAAGGTAGCTTGGCATGAATAGACACCCAGAAAGCTGTAGATGGTATTTTCCACCAGAAGAAAGTAAAGACATAGTAGGGAGGAAAATTAATCCACATAAACAAGCTATGTTACAGAGATTTAAGGTATTTTAGCTAGTTTTTTTCCCTGTGCAAGTTTAGTTATGTGGTCAGGGACTGTAGGTATAATGGCAATGAAGTTGATTATTTCTGCAGTATAAGCAGGGTATGCATTACATATTTTTTAATGTAAAAAATTGTGCTATGGGTTACAACAATTATGAAGATGTTTTGTAATTATGGCATTTCGTTCGGCTGAGGGTATAGAAAGAATGATGCTTCGAGATTTATGTATCATATAACACCCATTACCTTTTTACCTCTTCTTCCTATGCCTGAAACCCAAAGATCTTACCAACCACGGCCTCAGTGTATTTCCCTTCCGCAGGAAGAGGGAAGTACTGGTTTGGTGATAAGTTGCTTCCATATCCCAGGAGAAAACCTTCCAGTTTTACATTAGGATGTGGACGCAGGAACTTCAAGAGGATGGAGTCACTTGTGGTATTGATGTGGACCTTCAGGTTTGGCCTTTTACCTAAAGATGGAAACAAAAATATAGGTGGCTGTTACTTCACCTCTTTAGCATCCAAAGTTACTGGCTAGAGGCATTGTTACTGGCTAGAGGCATTGTTATTGGAAATCGTGATATCTAGCTACTCAAGATCACAGCACACCCACCAAAACAGCTAAAATACAGGTAATTTTGAGATCAAAGAAAACAGACTTAATAACATATAAAGCAAAAGCAGTCTAGAATACAAAGTAAAATCTTAGGGTTTAATATTTTGTAGTTTATAATTGAGCAGGTAAATGGGATTTAAGGCTACCTTGGCTATCCACAGTTGGTCAGAACCTTCATTTTATACATCCTATCTGGGAATGGTGAAAGGATCTGAAATTTCTTATCGGTAAATTGAATTACTGCACTTTAAAACCCCCAGCTTCCTCAGTGCTGGTCTCCAGCAGTATCCTCGCAGGACTTAGTGATTAACAGAGTTGGAAAGGGAGGGAAGTGGGTGGGTTTTGTCTTAGGGGTAACTGAGATAGTAGAATAAGGGATTCTAAAAGGAGCAGGGCTGAGAAGAAAGATGATTAGTTCCATTTGGAGTTCACTGGGTCAGTGAGACAACTGACTGTTGTCTCACTGATAGTCAACTTACTGTTGGACATTTCCAACAGTAAGTTGACTATCTAAGTGTGATGCTCACAAATGGGGTCCAGATCCATCGGGGTGTCTTTAGTTTATAAATGATTATTGGGTGAACTTCCCCAGAGAGACTGCAGAGTAAGCAGAGAAACTCTATATTTTCAAGGCATTATTATTATTATTATTTGGGGCCAGAAGGAGCTGGGTCCAAACTGCAGCTCTGCCATATACTTATAAGTGTGCCCTGGCTGCTCACTAACCTGTGCTTGAGCCTTCTTTCTTGATTTGTAAATTATGGATAACGATGTCTACTTTGACAGGTTGTTTACAAAGGTTAGTGCAAATGGCAATATCTTAAAGCTGGTACACAGTAATTGCTCGATAATTGGTTACTTAATCAGGTCCATCCAAAGCCCGTTAGTCACAGTTTAGAAATCCAAAAACCTTTGTTAGGTTTTCGTAAGTTCATGTCAAACTAAGTTGGCAACAAAACTCAACCTGAACTGTTATGAGGCCACTTAGTCTTTCTTTAATCTCACTGAATAGTCAGTGTGACTTACTCACATGTTTAATTATAGGAATCTTTTTTAAAATTAATTTTTATTGGAGTATAGTTGCTTTACAATGTTGTGTTAGTTTCTGCTGTACAACAAAGTGAATGAGTTATCTATCTATCTATCTATCATCTATCTATCTATCTATCTCCGCTCTTTTTAGATGCCCTTCCCATTTAGCTCACCACAGAGCATTGAGTAGAGTTCCCAGTGCTATACAGTAGGTTCTCATTAGTTATCTATTTTATACATAGTAGTGTACATATGTCAGTCCCAATCTCCCAATTCATCCCACCCCCACTTCCGCCCTTGGTAGCCATAAGTTTGTTTTCTACATCTGTGACTCTATTTCTGCTTTGCAAATAAGTTCATCTGTACCATTTTCCTAGATTCTAATTATAGGAATCTTAATTCCTATACTTAAATGTGCTTAATTAAAGGGTGCTGATCAAGACCTCACTGAACAGGTTACTTAATACATGGTCTAGGCATCCTAGTACATTTCTAATCCAAAGATTTTCTGAATTCTAAAACAAGTTTGGCTCTGAGAGTTTTAGATAAGAGATTGTGGACTTCAATTATTTTCTTTCTTTCTTTCACTGGGAATTCATATTTTAAAAATATTTTACCTATTGGGAAGACTGTATTTACCAACTTAATAATTCAGTCTATTTCTCATTAATCAAAGACTTATATTGTATATATACCAGTCAGGACCTCTAAATAGCATGTATTTCCCAAAGCTATCACTCTAAATTTATACTATTCCAGTAAAAAGTCATCCTGGGTGACCTCAATATAGCCACATAGAAGAATTCCATTAGGCCTTTGAAGCAATAAAAACAACACGTCTTGGAGACCAGGCTGTGGGAACCACTCTCTTACTTTAGCAGTCAGTACTATTTCCAGGTATGTGCATAGTACTTTGTACTTCCCAAGAATTTGATAAAATTTCTATAACTTCTTGGTTCTCTGACTGCTATTGCTACACTTGTGGCAAAAAACCCAGAGACACTGAGCAGCTTATCCAAAAGTCTGAGGGAGACTCATCCCCAGCTCACCTAGTCCAATTCTCTTATAGGACAAATGACTAAATTGAGGGCAGCCACACCTCTATCAGTCTGCAGATTAAGTTCAGCGTCAAAACCGCATCTTAGGTTCTCGCTAGGCTGGACTTCCTGCTCTCATTTTTATTGAGAACTTTGTCATGACCCAAATGAGTAAGGAGTAGCTAACCCGCATACCATAATGCTGAAATTGATGTTAACTGATAATGTTTTGTCCTAACTTTATAAGATTTTGATAAGGTGATATATATATATCACCTTATCAAAATCATAGATAGACAGATAATCTCACATATATAACACAGATTTTGGTCAAGCCAATTTTCCCCTTCTTAGTTATGTGCCTAGATTAACCCTACAGTTAATCTAGGGTTAATATTCTGCTACCTTATAAGGTTATCAGGTCTTACAATAAATCAAAAAACAGCTGGCCTCTTTCCAACACCTTGTTAGGAAGAAGAGATTAGGAATCTTCATGAACTTAGGTTGCACTCTTTTTGGGCTAAGAGTCAAGAGTCACAGCATCATCACATTAGACCTTTGCTCACAGACTATGGCCTGATGTACCATGTTATTCCCCCCCTTGGAAAGTAGGAAGGATGGCTGTACCAACTGAGAAAAAGGAAGGTTGTAAACAGAACTACTGACTAACAAAAGTGGAAGTGTTCTTGCTTCCTCTGCCCAGAATTTTCATGACTCCAGTCTTTCTCCCTTTTGCTAATAATTTATGTCAATAAATACATCAACATCATGTAACTTTCTGAATATATTAGCATTTATCTGACCTACTTTCTCCAAAATTCCAATTCATACTACTCTCTAGAGCTAAACTTTTAAAAGTCCTGAGAAAGAAAAAAGCACACAAACAAATCTTTTCTCAAAACAGCATCACAAATTTAATAGTATATTGAGACTCTCATCTCAGTTCCTTACTGGATCTAGGAACTCAAATCCCTTTATTATCTTGCTACACATGAATTCTGTCTTTTTTAAAAAAAATTTTATTGGAGAATAGTTGATTTACAACATTGTGTTAGTATACTGGAAAATGAATCAGCTATACATATACATATATCCACTCTTTTTTAGATTATTTTTCCCATGTAGGCCATTACAGAGTACTGAGTAGAGTTCCCTGTGCTATACAGTAAGTCCTTATTAGTTTTCTATTTGTTACTTCTCAACATCGCTCATTTCTCTTTGGCCGGTATAAATCTTCTCACATTCTGCAATGCATACGAGGCCCTGGCCCTACACATATGCTCACATTGTCACCCAGCGTGGATTCCCTCAATACCCCTTTGCTCACTCAGTTATGACCCTACTGACACTTTCAGAGCTCAGCAAAATGGTTAAGTAATTTTTTTGTCCTTTTCATCTGAATAAGTTCCTCAAGTGTCCCTTCAAATGAATGTTTGGACTAGTATTCAATTTTACATTCTTAAACAATTTCCCCAGTATTTTAAGGTATATCTCAGTGCATTCTATAATAATTTTTCATCTTTGATAAATTTATCTTCACTCCAAGTAATTCTGGCTTAAAGGCCTGGAACACTAGTCATGTAATAACAGTTATCTTTCAACAGTTAGTGCGAAGACCTCAGGTGAATGACTTAAGATAGAGATAATAAAAAAAAGTACAACATGGTACAAGCTTAACTAGTAAAACATTGATAAGTAAAGTGGCATATATATCACCCAGGAAAGCCCAGGAGTACAGAGAAATAAGATTACTGGAAGAATATTTTATTGCATCCTATATGAGAAACAAAGCCTATACTAATCAAGAGTGAGAGAAAATGAAGAATGTGAGCATTTCAGGAAAGCAATACTAGAACGGCTGAAAAAAAAGATTGCATGTTGGCAAAGTAGAACTTTGGAACTATGACAGTTGTTTCTAATCCTCTGTTTGCAACACCCTAGGGTATCTCTAAATATTTCCAAGGGTGTTGTGAAATTTTAAAAGAAAAAAAATCCCTTTCAAAACAAAATTAGAAATAATCCCCATTTAATTTTTAAAAGAAAATACATGCCCTGTGGCATTGAAAACAGTGAGGAAGGTAGTGAGATGAGAAAATCAGACAAAAGGTAGAGCACTACAAGTTCATAGAACCCTCTGGATCAACCAGAGGAGTCAGGTTGCTATTGCTATTGCTACAGGCACAGGTGCTGAGCAGATATTTAATGTTGACCCCAGAATTCTGAGTGCCTGTGGTCAGTGTCAATAAAACTCTGTAAAGAAACATAGCCCAAACACAAGGCACTTAGTTAAGCCAGCTAAACTACCATGGACATCCAGTCACTGATCTGTGAGAAAGGAGTTACCATCACAACCCATTTAGTAGGAGAAACTCTTTCATGGCTAATTTCTCTTCAGGTTATCTTAACACTTTCCAAAATATTTCAGAATGTGGTCTAAATTGCTGATATGAAGTTGGTCATGTTGATAAAACCACTTCAATAGAAAAACTGCAAAACACGAAAGTTCTCTTCTTAAAAGTAAAAAATATCTATTAGTGTAGTAGCAGTAAATGCCTTAGCCTCTAAGCTCTCAGTGTTGTAAAACAGTAAATAGCAAGTTTGAGAATAATCAGATTAGCAATTATTTCCATAATATATTAAGTAAAAGAATAGCTATAATAGTGATGTCAATAAAATAATGATTCACTTGTTTCAGGATTAAAAGAATAAACCCTATTCTTTTCTATAAACCCATAGTATGTTCCTCTTTTTTTACACACATTCTATTTACATTGCCAACCTGTAT